GCCATGACTTGGTGTTAATGAAAAGGATATTAGGAGATGATACATGACTGTAGCTCACTGAGATGGTCACCCATTGAGATGGGCACAGGTCTCAGTGTCCGAGTGTCTTTTATGAGGCTCCGCCTCCCTTATACCCTACCCCTTTCCACTCAGGCATTCCTGTGATGGTATCAGGGTAGATGCCTGGTCCCCTAGGTGTCTGCCTTCATGGGACAGGAGAAAGGTCCAACGTGGGAAGAAAAACAGACCGTTCTAGGACTGATGTGAGCTGGCCTAGCCCTGTTACTCTGGCAAGGGTCTACCACCAATGACGCCTGTGTTGCATATAAATTAATAAAGCAATATAACAAATAGCCGTGTCCATCATTTATTCACAGGCCCAGCTTTGGCCCTACAGTATGTGTCCGCTTTTTCCTCAGGTGGCTGTGGCTCTTCAGGGTTCACCCACAGTTCCAAGCCTGATTCACAGGGCAGGTCTGTATTGGACCATCCCCTGTGGTGGGTAACTTGGGGTCATGGGTACTATGAACTCCTATGAGGACCTTGCAGATACTTGGCATCCAGTGTCTGCAGGGTGGTTAGGTTCCTGTTGTGGGAGCTAGAATCAGGCTAGTCTCTGATGAGATGCCCTCCGCTCCAGTGGAGTGAAGCAGCATAGTCTAGTGCCTATGCCAGCGCCCTCCCATTCCTGGGGCTGGTGCTGCTCTATAAAGGAAGTTCTGGGTTGACCCGAGTCAACCCAGACCCTGTAGGCCCCCACATGCTCCGTGGCTGCTGCTACGTGCATCATTGCCTGCAGCTGCAGCCTCTGGGCTCTAGGCGGTGCCAGGCATGCTGGCTGGTTGCTCTTGGCCCTGCCTGGGCTCCATGCCCAGGTGCAGGCCAGTTTCCTGCTCTAAGCCTTGCCCAGGGGATGGGCATATGGTGAGTGCATCTCCTGCAGCTTCCCTGCCCTGCCCAGGGGGCTAGCGTGCAGGGGGCATGTTGCCTCCCTGTGGGCCTGTTGCCTATCATCTGAATGGCCTAGGCTCCTGCAGACTGCAGGGCACCCTGGCAGGGCTGGGCTGGGTCCCTGCTACAAAGACTAATAAAAAGACCCTTTCAAATTGCAGAGCAAACACTTGGTGGCTGGAAATGTAACCACTACAGCTATGGTGGCTGTTTTGCCTCAGTGATATAACAGAGTAGCCCAAGGTATCAAGATTAATAGCATATTAATTACTACTAGAATCAGGGGTGGATTCAGGGCTAGGTGTACTGGTGCAGTTTCACCCCACTTTGATTCTTTGATTCTTACTTCACCCAAACTTTAAAAACAACTGCGTGGCAGTGGCAGGAGCATTCCTGTTTAGGCAGCAGTGAGAGCATCAATTGACATCATGGCTCATTATAATCTACCTAAGTCCTTCTGAACTCTTCATTCCACAGGTCTCTCCTTTTTAATGGTCTTGATGTTTCATTAATCAAGCTAGCAATTCTGCTGTCTGTTAGCTGCTCCTGATAATGTAGCTCCTATTTCACACCCCTGCAGACTAGGGGTGCACTGATAAAGATTTTCTTGGCCAATACCAATAGCCGATTATTAACCAGCCATATTGACTGATACCTATCCAATAACTGATTTACAGAAATGCAGCTGGGCAGCATGGAGAGCAGCTCCCTGCAAGTAAGTCTGTGGAGGGGAAGGGGTGTGGGTGGGGGCAAATAGAGGCCCCCACAGTGAGGGAAGGAGTGGGGCAGGGGCTGGGGTTCTGCCCAGCCAGGGCAGTGAATGGAATCCAGGGCCAGGGCAGGGAGTGGGATGGAGCCATGGGCAGCTAGTCCAGGGGATCAGTGTCCCAGTGCTAAAAAATGGCGTGAGGAGTGCCTGAACTAAAGCTTGTCAAATGAGCTTTTAGTTCAAGTGCTGCTGCCACTGTTTTTAAGCACAGGGACACTTTTAACCAGAGCAGGGAAGAGCTGAGCGAGGTGAGGGCAGATGTGGGCTGCCCGCTGTGGGCTTTGGCTCTCTGCTCTCCTGCCTTTGCCCCATAAGCCCTGTTCCGGGTGCATGCCCCCTGCCCACCTGGTAGTGGGAGGCACAACTCGCTGCCCCCACTGCTGCCAGGTGGGCAGAGGGCGCAGGGCTAGTGCAGAACTCATGGGAAAAAGGCAGCATGGTGGAGAGCCCCAAGCCCACAGTAGGCAGCCTGTATCCACCCCATGCACAAGTCTGGGGGGGGCACATGCCCCCCCAGGGGTTGCACACGGCAGCAGAGAGCCGCCTACCCTGTGGCCCATAGACAAGTTGACTGTCGCTCTGTCCCACTCTCCACCCTAGTCTTGGGTCTCATTCACTGCCTGTGCTGAACAGCACTCCCAGTCCCTGACCCAGTCCCATTCCTTCCCTCACTGTGGGGAACTTGATCTGCCCCTCCCCTGCCATGCCCCGTTCCTCCCCCATGCCTCTTCCCCTCCACAGACTTACACTGTCATCAGCACCTCTCTCTAGGGGGTGCACCACCATGCTCAGGTGCACATGTGCACCTGAATGCACCCCCTATGCATCACCCCTGTTTAGGGCTGTAAGGGACCTTGTGAGATCATCGGGTCCAGCCCCCCTGCTCTGAGCAGGAAAGACTGCTGGGGTCAAATGATTGATGAGTTCCTTATCAGGGATCCTGGTTTTCTCTATTTAAAAATCTCAAATTCTTGGATTTAAAAAAATCCCAAATTCTCTTATTAACCCCCCCATCTGCATTTTTCCGCAACTGAAATGCCACTATATATATAGGTATCAATTTAATGCAATGTTTTATTGATTTACAATTTCAAAGCAATTTGGAAGCCTACTAGTCCCTCAGTCATTATAATAAATTCTAAATACCTGTATTTAGTTTTTTTGTCATGGAAAATCAGAGCTCCTCCTGCCCCCTTCACTCACCAAGACATGGGTCCAGGCTGTCCCGCTGCTGCTTTGTGGCACTGAGCAACCCTGATATGCCGGTGGCCTGTCCCTGGCCATGTCATTGCCCCTCCCTCCCAAGCTGTAGCCCTCCCCCTCCCAACCCATAGTCCCACACCCCATAGGCCCTGCTGGTGCCCCTTGCTCCCGACCTGCAGTCCCCTGCCCATGCCAGTGCCCCTTACTCCCAACCCACAGCCCCCTGGTCCTGACTATGCCCCTCACCCCCAACCCACAGTCCTCCACCCACCCTGAGCCCTGCTGGTGCCCTTGACTCCCAACCTACAGGCCCCTGGGCCCTTCTGGTGCCCCTCACTCCTGACTTGTGACCCTGCCAGTGCCCCACACTCCAGACCCATGGTCCTATGCCTGTCCTGGTGCCTCTCACTCTCAAACCATAGCCCCCACAGCCCTGAGTGTCCCTCACTCCTGACCCACAGCCCTCTGCCCCCCCAGCCCTGCCAGAGGGGGGCCCCAGCTGCCCCCATCCTGCCTGGGCCAAGCCAGTTGCGCTGGCACCAACTTATATAGGTAGTGGCAGAGTGAGTCTGGCTCCAGTGTGGGCTGTAGGCAGGAGGGGAGGCCTGTGGCATCACCTGCCTTGGGCTAGGGCTCCTGCACCGTGCTGTGCCAAGTGGCTTTACCACCCCCCCCGGCAGCATCTCCTGGCTGCCCTGTCCCTGCGAGCACAGGCACTGACCCTGGTGCCACTGAGCTGTCCGTGCAGCTCCCTGCTACCCCTGAAGGGCCCTGCACCCCCTTCCCCTGCTGAAGGGGCACCTCCCCTCTGCCCTGCCACAGGCCTAGCTCCCAGGCATTTTCTCCCCAGTGCCAGTAGGCACCCGCCCCCATCCACAAACCCATCCCCTCCACAGACCCCTGCCACACAAACACACACACATCCCCCAACACACAGCCACCCAGACAGTCCCCAAGCCGTGGCTCTCCAACCTCCACCCCCATAGACTTGCCTGCACGCAGCTGCTGGGGCTGCTCCTACTACACTGTCTGGCTGTGCGCTGGCCACATGTGTGTGCATGTGCAGATGCATGTGGTGCCTCTGCCTTCAGTCACCCGCCCCCCACTCTTCCTAGCCCCAAGCAGATTCTTGCAGAATGGAAGGCTGCCACCCTGAAAGGGGAAATCCAGAGTTTCCCACAGCCTTCTCATACCCCCTCCAACATTTGCCTGTTTCTATTTATAAATATATGTAATACAAAATACATTTCCATCAAGTCTCAGACCTTTGAAACCCTCCTTGTGAGAACTGGATGATTCTTTTTCTGTCTCACTTAGTTCTCGACCTCATGACTAACTCAGCCAATAAAAGGGGTCATCCATGATGTGGAACCCAGATAGTTAATAATCCTGATGTAGTTTAGTTTGCAATGATGCATTGCAACTATTAGTCAGCTTGTCCTTGGGCTGTGGGAGAGGCAGGCAGGCTCTGCAGGAAAAAAGGATTGGGCCCTTCGCCACTTCTGCCTTTAGAGGTGCCTGCTGAAGGCAGAAGTGATGAGGGGCCTGATCCTTTTTTTTTGGGCAGAGCCTGCCTGGCTGGTGGGTAAGCTCCCAGTGGACTGAGGAGTCCAAGCTGTGGGAAGCCTTTGTCTTTCCCTCTCTGGCAGCACCCCCCTGGCCACCTGAGTAGGCTGTTAGCGGGACAGGTGCTGCCCTAACTCGGAGACAGCACCCGGCCCAATCCAACTCTTCCCTGGAGGGTGCCACTGCTGCAGAGAGAAGGACTGGGGTCTCCCAAAGCTTAGGGGCCACTTGTCCAGCTTTCCCCCTGGCTGCAGGCAGGCTTTGCCAAAAAAAGGGGGAAAAAAGGATCAGGCCCCTCACCATAATGCAACAGAAAAATAAAACCCTTAAATTGAAATAGTGGGCTTCAATTAAAAGCCCACCGTTTTAATTTAGGGGACATAGAAGACTAAACCAAGCACCCTATATGTTTACACTGTTCAGAGAAACTGCATTTTTGTACCTTTTTCAGAAATAAGATTGCAGCAAATAGACCCGAATAACATAACTGCTTTCTCCTTCTAACAGAGATTATTTAAGGCTCTGAGCATTGGATAGCTGCTCAGACCAAAGAGGCAATACTGGTGTAAGCAGAAGATTACCTTTCAAGGAAAGAAATTTCCTGTTGAATCCAGATGAAACAAACACAGAAGATGCTGCTACCTGCAAGGCATGAAAAGCTGGCTTAAAGGAACTGAAACAAGAACTAGAGGCTTCCTAAAAGGAATTAAAGCAAGAAAACCACTTGACAACTTCTCGAAACCTATTAAAGCTACATCCAGAGATTTCCCAGAAAGGGCAAAGATATGATCTGCAGTTGGAAATAATTACTTGGTGAACGCAGCAGCTACAAAGAGACTAGACAGATTGGGAAACCCAGTTACAAAATATTCACTCTAGACTGGCAAAATAGATTGATAAGGTTACCAGCAACCTGACCACATATTTTCTAGGGTATAAGGAAGACTGAGAAAGCCTTGGCCAGCATGGGACTTGCTAACAGAGATAAGCTGCAGCAAGGACTCAAAGAGCTTGAAAAAAAAATCACCAGGAGAAAGAATTCAGAGGCTTGAAGATCACAGCTGAAGCCAGCCATCTGCCTGGGGTTTCAGAACAGTGAGAGAATCAGGTAAGGATGGACATTGCATTGCTTTTCTATCCCTTTTGTAACCTGCAGGATCCCAGAAAGCAAAAGTCAGGTGATTCCAGCTTAAGTAATAAAAATGCTTGCCTTCTTTGAGGAAAAAAATATTTTGGCAGGCTTATTATAACATCATGGCACAAGTGAATAGTTGAGAAAATGAACAGGGAGTGGGATTTCCAGCAGCCAGCTTGAATGGCCTGGTTCTGACAGAGCTGCAGAACTCACCCTAGGAAACAGACGGTTATCCAACCGTGGTACAAACTTTGACATGTTGTTTTGAGCCAACTGTCATTACAGAGTTGGCCAAAGCACAGCTAAGAGCTACAAGGACAGGGAAAGGAGAGGGCTCATCTGCTGGGGCAGAGCACCTGAGGGGACTCTGTTTCTCGGCATAATGGTACCAGATACCAGTGAGGACTTCCAGGATAAATTGGTAATGGGCCAGGTAATAGCTGTTCAAATGGACTTGGACTTGTAAATGACAGGAGGCCAAAGGCACTTTCTAAGGTCATGGAATTGTGCATGAACTCATCTTTCCTTGCAGCAGCCTAACAGAAGAGAGCAGTCATTAGTGAGGAAAACAGAAGCTGATTGCCATGAGCCCTGTAAGTACAATCCTATGTCTAATGTGCCTAATGTGGGGAGGGGAGCGGGAAAAGGGAATCCAGTTTGGTTTGTGTGCTTTTGAACAACTGGAAAAGTGTTAACAATTTGGTTTGTAAAACAGAGGGGACAGGTGATAATGCGCAAAATCAAGGGAACTGGTCAAGTTAGATATTGGTTCTGTTAAAAAAAAAGATGGATTATTACTGAGTTGTTAAAAGCCAAATCACACTGTCATAAGGATCTAATGAAAGTTTATTTAATCAGTTTGACAAATGGGAACACCAAATTGGACATACAGAGTTTGGTAGGACAAAGCAGGTCACTCCAAGATTTTTGTTCAGAACCGGACACTTAAACAACAATGAGAGTGTAGCTATCAAATGTGTTATGAGAGCTGTTAAAAGTCAGGAAATGTAAACACAAACTCCAACATAAATTATTAGAGCAGACATCCTGAACACCTTGGGGATTCAAAATCAAACTGCCTTATTTGTCTTAAGTGGACAACAAAGTCTGGCGAACTTGTCAGCCCCAAAATGGGAGGAAATTGTCCATCTGGAAGCTGAACAAGAAGTCTGGATAGCTGAGAGAGGATGAGTTGATAATCAATTTGGATTAATTAGGAAAATAACTGTTATCACTGGCAGGCAAGGCATCCTTAAAACTGAAAATTCCCTTGAATTTTCCCTTGCAAGATGCTTTACAGGTAAAATAAGTGCTTTGCAGGCAGTTGCAAACTGAGGTGAAATAAGTGGTTTGCAAGATGCCTCCTCTCCTGGGATGGAAATTATCATGTGCTGTGGTTGCCTTTCAGATAAAGAATGGTTAAAACCTACCCTTGGGCCCAAAATAATTTTAGCTGCCAAATTTCTGTGGCTTTGACTCAGAACCAGACAAGAATATGGCATGGCATACCTCTCAGACTGTTTTTTATATTTAGATCCTATCTTGGTACATGCTAACCCTTTTGAACAGAAACTAGCACACTTCCAAATGACCTGCGATAAGCCTAGATCTGCCAGTTTGAACAAGAACCTAAGAAAATGGGAGGTATCTGAAAAAGAGGTAATTATCTTCAACTTTGCACATTGTAAGTGCAAAGTAATACATGTGGGGAGAAAATAACACAATGATAGGCTCTGGATTTGCCATTTCTAGGCAGGATGTAGTAGAGCTAGAAAGGATAGGGATAGGATAGGGAGAAGGACAACAGACAGTTGCAAGTACGGAAATGAGCAGGCAGCAGATTTAAAACAAAACAAGAAAGGATTTTTTTTTTATTGACACAATACAAGATAAACTTGGGAAATTGGTCACCACCAGATGTTATGAAAATCAGTAGTATAAGTATAACCAGATTCAAAATTAGACAAATTTCTGGGGGACAGTCTCTGGGGCTATTAGACACAGCAGTCAGATGTAACCTCATGCTCTGAACATCCCTAAGCTTATGACTACTGGTAACTAGGAAGGCATGGCAGGGGATGGTCAGTACATATTCTCCGTTTCTCATATTCTTGATCTAAAGCAACTACTATATGACATTGTCAGAGACAGGCTCCTGGGATAAGTAGATGATTGGTGTGACCCAATGGGCACGTCCACAAACACAAGCACATGTGCTTGCAGCAGCTCAAATAGAAGCAGTGCAAATTTGAGCCAGGGCTTTTTGCCCCAGCACGCATACTCAGACATGCACTTTGGTGTGGAGCAAACTGTGCCACTTGGGGCAAAATAACCTCGCCTGGCTCCTCCCGGACCTGCAGCCAGGGGGAGCTAGAGCCTGGGGCTAGTACCTGTGCTGTCCCCAGCACTATAAAAAGCTGCCCTGTCAAGTAGCTCAAGGCAGCTACTTACTCTCAGGAGCTTCTGGGGCCCAGCCAATTGGTACCTGGGGACACTACCCTTTGTGCTAGGTGGACTGCTGAAGCAGCCCTGAGAGTTCCCTGCACCCTCTACCCACTGCAGCACCCTGGCAGCGGGGGCTGCTGCCTGGCTGTGATGTGCTGTGCACCTGCCAGATCTGGATGAGGCATCTGCCTCCCTAGCAGGAATTCTGGTGTTCCCTATCTGAAAACTGAAAAATCCCTGATAAAAAAAATCCCGAAGTCACTGTGTAAAATACCCCAAAATCCATGTTCCTCCACAATTAAAACAAATGACCACTAAAGAGAGAGAGAGAGTGATCAGTTGAGCAATATTTTATTGATATATCTACAGTGTTAAAACAATTTGGAAGACTACCAGTGTCTCTACCATAATAATAAAGTGAATTCTAAATACATGTTTCATGAATACATGAATACATGTTTTGCTGCCCCCCACAGGAGCTACACCCTGCCCCACAGGGGCCACGGACCCCCCCACTTGCTCCCCCAGCCCCCTGGATTGCTGCCCCGCCTGGCCCCATCTCCCACAGGCT